TTATCTTACAACAGCGACTTATAAACATTTACCAAAGACACTATAGTTTTCTTTTTAATTTGTGCATTGGATTTTGTTTTTCACCCTACACTGGAAACGGTACGGGTCTAACTTACTTACTTACTTAATAGGCTCTCGTTTACGCGTCCTGCATCATACATTTAAAGATGCTCCGAGGTGTGTTCGACTAATAATTTATAAGGCATGCATTCTTAGTAAATTAGATTACTGTTCTGTAATATATGATAGTGACTGGGTTAGTTCAGTTCTTGATAAGGTCACAAAGTTGGCTGCACGTATAATATGTAAACAACTTAACGGCTCAGTTACGGAGGTAATCGAAAAACTAAAACTTCCCGATTTAGTCTTGAGAAGGAAATACTCTCGGCCCTTGCATTTCTAAAAAACCAAAAATAATTTCTCACCACTTTCTAATTGTCAACCGAAATTCATTGAACCTTTAGAACATCGTCGATCAGATTGTTTAACCTCAGATAGAAATAATACGCAACAAGTAAAAGCTATCACTGCTACAAAGGACCGAGTTGCATCTTCATTTTTCGTAAGATTGCAATAGAGTGGAACAGTTTACCGGAGGATGTAGTCAGTTGTCTTACAGTAAATCGATTTAAAAGATTGCTGAGATCACATAAGAAGAGAATAGATCAAACACGATGCTGATCAATTCGCAAATGATTCGTAAAATTAGTTTACGAATTCGTGTTCACTGCTTTTAGAACTAGATCGATTCGTAAATACGAACTAACGAATTCGTATTAGGAACTGATCGAGCGATTGAAAATGGATCCACGAATTCCCAAATCCATTCTGCCAATTCATTGGGAATCGATGTGAACGCTTATTCTTGGCTGCTTGCAATGTATTCTTCTGGCACTTGTGTACTACCCCTTATTTTAACATTCAGGTTTTCTCCATTGTCTTTTCTAATTACAACATGACTAAAACGAACGTTTCAGTGGAAGTAGTAGAACTGGTCATCACAACAGTTTTCATCGTGCGAATTGAAACGGTTTATGCAATATATTCATGGCATGGCTTTCCAACTTTCAAAGTGTGTTTGTACAGGTTTTCCAGAAATCCGGTCTATGGAAAACTAGTACGAGCATACTTTGGAAGTTTGAAAACCACGCCGTTGAAAAGAGCACATGCGAAAACCTATAAAAAGAGTGCTGAGAGGCTTTGCTGCTACTTTTCTCCGGGGCGGCGGAACGGTTTGAAAGCTGTGGGGGCGGATTTTTTTTCCTTTGTTTTTCATTCATCATTAGCAGCTACATGTACCAATACTGGATCAGTTTGGTATCGCAAAGGTAAATACGATAAAGCATTAGAGAATTATGAAAAGACACTTGAAATTCAATTGAAAGCATTACCATCAAATCATCCATCATTAGCAACTACATATAATAATATTGGATCAGCTTTAAAAGCAAAAGGTGAATACGATAAAGCATTAGAGATTATGAAAAGACACTTGAAAATGCATTGAACTAAGAGAGATAGTATTATATGTGGTGTTTCATATTTAGAAACTTTTTTGATTTGTATTTGTGTAATTAATTTGTTAGAAATATTGTATTAGTAGTATTCATTGGATGTTTCTCGAATTTTATTGTATTTCTTTCTTGTCCAGTACAGAAATTACGTTGTTCAAAGATAGAGCAGAAATAGGCTAGAGTTTCTAAACTGAACTGAACTGAATTTATTTCATCAAACACATGAAACCCAGAAAAAAAGAAGAACACATGGTTGACAGAAAAGCAGGAAAACTCAAAAACTTATAATTACTAACCCCACCACCTTGCATTGAGTAGAAAAAAAGCTAGAATAAATGAAAAAACAAAAAACAAACAAATCATCACATGATGAGCCTTTAAGCACAAAATACAGTTCCACGCCTATGGCAAGAATTTTGAGCTAGGTTTGAACAATGGAATATGGTAAAATGAAATCAACAAACAACTGTAGCATGTTTGCATATCTAATGTGATCTCAGCAAGCTTTTAAATCGATTTACTGTAAGACAACTGACTACATCCTCCGGGATTTTATATATGGACTTTTCGAAAATCAAAAAGTCGGATTATTTTCTACTTTCTAGAAAATCGCTGAGGATTTTCTAGATGAGGAAGAACAATTTGAGTGAGGATGCTAATAATCAGTGACTTGCAAAGTGAAAATGGCTGATGATAAACTTTTTCACCGTTATTAAAAGCTATTGAACTCCGAAGTTGAGTGGGATGTATTATTTCAGCTTATTGGATGACAATATGGATCTTTTAATAATGAAAACCAAATTCGACATAGATCACGTGTTGAAAGACTGTTATTTTATTTAAAAAATAAAGA